TCTGAAAGCTAAAGAGAACAGTGTTTCCCTAGGCCTCCATCCAGAGGACAGTTAGCCCCAAGCACATTCCTCACCGGACTCACTTCCTGTCTCTATACTTTCATCCAACAGACAACAAAAAGATGAACTTTTTAACCAGGCCTGAGCCAAGCATGCGCACAAACATATCCAGAACACAGCTAGCCAAAGTACACTTAACACACAAGCAGTTTCAGAATGTACTCTTTATATTTCCATAAATAGAAGGCCATTTTAATGTCTCAGTTTACTAGGAATTTAGTAAGCAAGGATACATAGTAAATAAATGATAATCCTAGTAAACAGACGTCTTTAAAATGGGAAAAATAACTCTAAAGCCAAACCCAAAAGCTAATGTCTTGGTGAAACAGTTGACCTAAAATTCCCACATTATAAACACGCTATAAAAACTGAAGTGTTTTACAAAATCACCAGGCAGCAACAATGTTTTATTTGGGCTCCCCAGAATGGATCAGTCCCATCTGTGATAAGAGGTGTGCTTGTTAAACAAGGCATTTGATCCCTTCCTGTTTGGACTCTCAAACAGACTGCTAGTTCACTTCGGTGCCCGAGTCTGACTTACACTGATCAAAGACGTAAGAGATGATGCCAACCCCGTTGACTCTGTGAGCTGTCATGTAAACTTTTTTGGGAATTTCTTTTGCAAGGGTACTTTTGCAAATCTCTAGCCAAGGTTTGGGAAGAGAAACCGTTTCCATCTCATCTAAGACACGTGATGCAAAACAATCTGAGCTTTGGAAATTTGGAAAAACCCAAAGTCCTTGATGTAGACTGGACAGAGAGAACTACTCCTTTATTGTGCAAACTCTATCTACAAAGTCAAGAAATTGTAATAATAAACAATCTCCAAAATACGCAGTCAGTGACTGCTAAACACTTATCTTGACCCATGAAGAGGGCTTTCAGCATCACCACTGCATTCCTACAGTATAGCGTGAACAACTGGGTTGACTGCTCCCAAATCTGAATCCATCTCGCTTGTTTCCATGAGTCTCTTTGCCATTTGGTCTCAGAGAAAATAAAGCAGCATGTAACAAGAATAAGCCAAAAAATCTTTTGTATAAAGAAGGAATTAGTTCAGTTGTAGCTACTATTTATCTTTACCAATGACTAATTGATTTATATATTTTTAATATTAATGGACCTATAATTAAAAAACAGAAACTTGCATCCTAAATTGCAACAAAATTATTATGTATACAGTATGCACCAATTCTAAAATTCTGTCCCATACCAATATACCTATCAATAATTATTTTCATGTTATAGCTGATAAGTGATATTAAAATTCGCTACTATTTTGTCTGAATAAAATAATAAAAATAATAAAACTCTAAACAAAAACTAAAAATAATTGATGTGTTTAATGATTAACTTGTGAGCTTTAGAAGGCAATTAAAATATAAATATTTGAGAAATGATCATGCATAATTAAATATTGAATGTAATATGTATATACATTTACATTTAGCAGACGCTTATCCAAAGCGACTTACAAATGAGGAAGCAATCAAAATCAACAAAAGAGCAATGATATGCAAGTGCTATAACAAGTCTCAGTTAGCTTAACGCAGTACATGTAGCAAGGTTTTTTTTTTTATTATATAATAAATAAAAAGAAAACAGATAGAATAGAAAAAGAATAGAGCAAGCTAGAGGCTTTTTTTGCTTTTGATATATATTCATGCATTTCTAATAATTATGATGACCACACTGGGAAATGATGATGCATTGAAATGCTGCTTATATGTAGGTAGCTCACTAGATTTTCAACAGACTGTATAGACTGTACATTATATGGGTGCTGATCCTCAGGAACATAAGCATGTATATCATTTGGACACTGGTGCGGTGAACATAAGATTAAACAGACACAGCTCACAATTCATCTTGGTATGAACACATTCCTTCTCGACATAATAGAGAAAACTATTTCAGGCCTCCTTTATGTGATTCATTACTGATTTTAGAGAATTCCATAATGACAGTGAGCCATTCCTCCACATGAGCTAGCTAGTGCTATAACAAGTCTCAGTTAGCTTAACGCAGTACATGTAGCAAGGTTTTTTTTTTTATTATATAATAAATAAAAAGAAAACAGATAGAATAGAAAAAGAATAGAGCAAGCTAGAGGCTTTTTTTGCTTTTGATATATATTCATGCATTTCTAATAATTATGATGACCACACTGGGAAATGATGATGCATTGAAATGCTGCTTATATGTAGGTAGCTCACTAGATTTTCAACAGACTGTATATTGCACTATATGGGTGCTGATCCTCAGGAACATAAGCATGTATATCATTTGGACACTGGTGCGGTGAACATAAGATTAAACAGACACAGCTCACAATTCATCTTGGTATGAACACATTCCTTCTCGACATAATAGAGAAAACTATTTCAGGCCTCCTTTATGTGATTCATTACTGATTTTAGAGAATTCCATAATGACAGTGAGCCATTCCTCCACATGAGCTAGCTAAAATAGTTATACAATGAAATAATTAATAGTTGTTCCCATCCAAGAGGTATAATAAGCTTCATAAAAGCAGTCTTGAATGTTGCTTAACTGTTCTTGTTATATCTGATGCACTAAGTGCTTTTGGAGCGAACGCCTGTGATGTTAACATTTCTGAAAACAAGACGGTGAGCAGTTCTCTCCAGTCACCTGCAACTTTAAAATATGTGAAAATTGCTCTTATGATTAACAACTTTTGAGTCCTTCTTTAAAAAAACAACAACAACAACACAATCTTGTAACAGCTGCCAATGAAGTATGCATCCATTGACGAAATTGTACAATATGACATAATAGAATGTCTATTCAAAGAAAAAAAAAAAATCATTTTTTCCCCCCTCACAATAAAAGTGCTTTCTACTTCTATGGATCACAGAATGGTTGGTTTGGATATGTAACACAAGGTTTGTAATTCTACACTGTAAAAAATGACTGTGAATTTAACCGTAAAAGACTAAAAATGCTACAGTAAAAACCTGTTAAATGGTTAACGGTAAATTCCCCCACCAATACGGTGAAAAACTGTATTAGACATTACATGTATTGGACATTAATTTTACGGTAGTATACCGTTTTTGGAAGTGAAAAAGACCGTATAATTTACAGTGAATAACCGTAAATTGACATTCCCAGAATTCCCTGCATTACATTTAAAATTTGATGTTTTTTTGTTGAAATAACTATGTTTCTTAGTTTTTTCTTATCAGTTTTGTATATTAGGGTTGTGTTACACCTAATGTTGTTAAATTAATGTTTATTGCATTATTTCAGTTTCATGTGAGTTACCATGATGAAGTTTAGTGTTTGTATGAATGTGCATCTTCTGTATATGTTATTATTTAAAAGCTGCTTGTGATGGGCTTTGGTTCATCATGTGACTTTCTCATCACCACCTGCTTTTGGTGGTTATCAGTGTATTACAAAGGTGCAAAACAGATTTCAGTACTTCAATAGGTTGGTATATTAACATTATATCAGTTAATGAAAATACGGTATTTAACTGTAAATTTAAGTTAAAACCTAAAACGTTGCTACCGTATTCTTTATGGTAAAATTCCGGCAACCACAGCTGCCGGTTTTGTACCGTAAATTTTACGGATTTTTTTTTACAGTGTAGTTTTTACTGATCTTATATCGAATTGAGTGATGCTGAATTCCTATCATTTCGTTTGGAAAATATATCTCATAATTTACACAAGCTTCTCTGTGCGTCTTCTAGGAAAATCCCAATCCTAATAGCATTCCTTCAGCAAGTAGGTTGATCAAATACACTCTAAAACCGAGGATTGCTGTGGTGAACTGAACTTAGAGACTTTGTGAGTGTAGGATGATGACGATGATGTCCCTGTCTGAAGTCACTCAGAGCCATGAACAACATGGAAAGCATGACCCGACATGGACAAAGTATTAAAGCTGAGAGCTTCAAAGCGTTTTACCATCCCTACAGAGCCGGGAGAATGAGAAGTCCTTGTCAATTTGTATCAACTGCTTGATAAATTCACTAGTTGAAAAACAAAACGACAACAGATTAAAAAGTGGCATTTATAAATGATTTGTGTCTCTACTTTAAACCAATACAACATTTTCTTTGCTCAGTCCTAACTCTACTAAGTGAAACCCACATGCAGTCAGAATCATAAGCCAAAAATGTGATAACTCATTTTCCAAAAATTGAATTTAACTTCATCTTCCACTCTTCTAATGCAGCTGATCACAGTGTCGCTTGTTTTAAAATGACTTCAACAAATTGAGGAAAACACAACATTCAAGGCTAATGTCAAAAGCAGAAATGCGTTAACACTGCTCCCTATTGGTTGAGTTGGTCACTACACACATACTGTGAAAGAATACAGTACAGTTCTCTTTCTTACATCAAAACAAAATTGGGATTTTACACTAAACACCTGAATATCAGAAAAACTAAATAAAAAGCATATATTCAATAATGTTGTGGAAAAGGTAGTTATTTTCCAGGCGTACATTAAAAATCAGAAAAACTATACAACCAATAATTTGAACAATCAATCCTTAAATATGTTTAAATGACAGGTAGTTATATCCATTTCCAAACTATACAAACTTTCTTCAAAACAATTGGAAGCTATGTATGTAAACTGAACAATGGAGCCTCAACTACTGGCTTTTCTAAATCTGGTCCGCTGGATTATTTCATATAATTTTCGTTTTATTTAAACTAATGTTTCTGAAAACAAAATGGGCATGGAAGCGAGAATCACACAGGAGTTGAACAAAGGAAAAGAGAAACATAACTGGATCTGCAGATGCTGGAAGCAATGCATTACAGTGTTTGTTCAGTTAAATATAACAATGATTAACAGCAATTGTGCATTTTTATTTGCAGAGTGTTTGTTTGTTTCTTTCAAACTCTTTAAACTCTCTCAAATTGGTGATAGTTGTCATGGAAACAACAGTTTTACCTAATAGCATGATCTCCAGTTTTTTCCGGTCCACTCGAAACCTCTCCTCGGTCCACTCGGGGTCCGGAGGCGCCGTGGGTCCGCTGGAGTCATCCTCAGACACGGGCAGAGGGGAATCCGCGCTGCGCTCGCTGTTGGAGCCCGGATCGGACTGCTGTAAGTATCCGCTTAAGGGTTCACACTGAGCGGCCATGACTTCACAGAGCACCGCTGACTCTCCGCAGCCGTCAGATCAGATCATTCCCGCGGAGAGTGAGCGCCAGTCATCGCGGCCACGGGCTCTGTGTGACTTGACGCTACATTGACCGGAGGACTATAAAGTGAGGGCAGGCAAAAGCAGAGCGCCGCCCTTTGTTCAATATGAGCCAGAGGAAGGGTGGATGGAAGGGGTCTGTCTTCTAAACACCATTTTTGGCCCGTTAGGAGTCAGCATATGATGCCCCCAAATTTGCAAGTCTATGTCTAGATAAGCAGCTCACGTTTTGAGTTTTGAGACACCATGCAAGGGTACTGTTTACAAATACTTCATGCCACTGTTTACAAATACGTCATGCCTCGTTTTAATTTTTTTTTTTATATAACTATTTTTTTTACACGTTTACATTTTAATGTTCATGTTTGGTTATTATCGTTATATTTGTATTTTTATTATAATAGAAACGTCCTATTATTGTAGCCTAATACTGGAGAAGTTTTTTTTTTTATTTAAGTTGTACCATGAGAACACAGAATTACTCAAGCATGATTTATCTGATGAGTGGTGATTTATAATAGTATTAATATTATAAATAGTATAATATTTATAATAGTATTAATATTAATAAAAGTATTAATACATATTTTAATAATAAGACAGTAAGTATGTGTCACGGGTGCACTGCTGAGCGGACTGAGGAGCAAGGAATGAAGAGAGACGAGGAGTAGGGGAGCAAGACACACACAAAACACGGAACAAAGTCTGACAGTATGTGTGTGTATACACACTATTATGTTTTAAATACTATATAATTTTATAATGTAAATGCATTAAAATGATTTCATGATAAAATAACAACAAATATAAACAATATAATATAAATATATAATATAATATAAAATAACATAAAATAGTTAATTACATTCGTTATAATAAACAATAGATATAAAATACAATTTACAGTCTAATAAGACTTATTTAAATTATGACACCATACAAGAAACCACATAAGACCAAGTAAGATAAGTATAAATATAGACTATCATATTTGTATTTTTTTACAATATAGCCTGTATGCAGTATTACAATATAATATAATATAATATAATATAATATAAATTATTTTGTGACTTTTTTGGTAAATCCGGATCACGTGACCCATGATGCTTCTGCAAAGATGTAGGAATTTAACAGAAATTACTTAAGGTGTTTATTCAACTACGTACGGTCTTTAATTTCAGTTATATGTATTTAAGACAGCCATATTTCCATCATCATTCCACGCATTTCCAAATCCGATGGTGCAAACGGCATAAACTAGTATTAAAGTCTGTATCTTGAGCTGTAATCTCAGTGAGCGCGCAGCAATTGTGTTTGAATGAGCGTCTGTTTTAACACGCATAACTCTCCGAGGCTCTTTTTGCCATTGTATCAGTCTGAGAAATCACGTAAGATGCCCCAAACAAATGTCTTGGTTGGCAATTAATTCGAGTCGGTGTTCTCAGTAAGTGTTTCTGGGTTTTGGCAGGATGTGTGAACATGGAGATGGGGATGCAGAAGCGAGCTCATCTGCCACTCTCAGACCATCGTTTGTTCTGGGTAGAGCACTGCCAGGCCGAATATCACTGAATCCACCCCCACAAGGCAGACTGACCTCTCTGCGCTCCAGAGATCTGACCCTGGGTGGATATAAAAAGGTTGCACTTTCTAATGTCAGTGGTTCAATATCAAACACTCTCAACTTTGTTTAAAACACCAAAGATATTAGAAGTCAAGTCAGTATTATTTTCCACAATACTTCTTTTTTTTTAAAGCAGCTTTATAGAAAATAAAATCGATTTAATTGTAATATTTACAGTATAGTATAGGCTGTCTGACAGATAATAATAACATGTTAAGATATAAACAATCAAGCAGTTGAGATTTTCTGTATAGTAGTGCTTTTCTGTATTTTATGCATCATCTGAAAGCTGAATAAATAAGCTTTACATTGATGCATGGTTGCACAGTGTATACTTACTGTATATATCCAACGTTATATATAGAGCTGTGCAATAATACTTTAAATTTTGCATATTCAATTTATTATTTTTCCCCCTACAGAAAACCTTTGTACCAAATGTTCACTCTTTCGCAAAACTAAAGATAAGTATTTTATACCTCATCCTAAACAACACATTCACATTCCATTAACATTTTAAATTAAATATACAAACACATTATTTAATCAGTTCACTGAAACATAAATAATTCAAACCCTTTTTCTTTTCAAGTTTAAATACCAGAGATTAATTTCAGACTAACACATCTTCAGCGCTTATCTGAAAAAAATACAACTAGGTGGCTTTGTCATATAAATCACTTGTTTTCTGGAGGTTACAGAAGGAGACGCACACTTTGCGTGATCATTTGGGCGGCGTTATGCAAATCTTCCCACATAGTTAGGTAGGCATGTGGGGGCGTGTTAGAACAAGCCGTTTTAGGTAGGTGTGGCTGACTCTTAACTTTTATAAAGAATATCTCTTTGGATTTGAGACTTTAGTCTTTGCAACTTTACAGATCTTCTTTATGCACCAAGAGCTTGTAACACTCCAAAGAGAAAGGAAAAATTGAAATTTCATCATATGACCCCTTTAAGATATTATGTACAATGTGTTACGTTTAAGTTAGTATTATGCCATGACTTTCAGTTGAACTCCTCAGTTTAACTGGTTAGGAATGGGCGATATGTTTTAACCCTGTCATTTACATGCATCCTTTAACCGTGAGAGTGATCCATTTTTATCTACATACATACAGTACACTTATGACTTAAACTTAATGACTTATCTAGTGAAATAATAAAAGTTGGATATATAGTATGTCCAAATTTTCCTGCATACACAGCATACTCATGTAAAGCAATCTATACTATATAGCAAATCACAACTACTTGGTAGTTTATAATGTCACAAAATGTGAACTATTTTATTGCACAGCTCTGTATATGAAGTTAGATATATAAGTATATTTGCATACATACAGTACAGTATACTTGCGTAGCGTGATTTATAAATTATAACAAGTCTCAAAAGCTTGATTTTTATATCAAACTACTGTACATTATCACCCAGCCCTAATTTGCCAAATGAAATTATAAGGCATGAAGATATGTGTATTGTGAAAAGTGCTATACAAATCAATAAATTTGCACTTACTGCTGACTCATGGTGGTGCAATGATTAAATATCAAATAAAATTTCATCAAGTCAACATTCGTGTGCCTGTTTTTGATCTCGCAGGTAATTGGAGCGTCTCTAACCTGAGTGATTGTGATCCTGCACTCGTCACAAAATGCATTAAAAAGGAAAAGAGCAACGCAGAGGATGATGATAATGAAATTTTACAAAAACTCCAATGAGATGATGTACGTCTCAATGACCCTTTATCATGTGACAAATTTCACAAAGTCTTGAAAGTTAATCAGTAGCATTTTAATGCTTTTTTCCTGGTTTAATTGAGCAGTTTTTGGATGATCCTGGATTAAAAAATGATCCCAAGCAAAGACCAATCAGACTTCCACTCTATCAGTCATGCAACTTCCTGTCAACAGATGCAGCTAGTTCATGTAAGTTACAGTTTATGCTAACAGTAATTTTTATTTAGCTTGTTTTGTTGCTAGTTTTTGTTGTTTACATTAAACAAGTAACTAAATCCAAGGCATTTTTGCAGTTATAGAAGAGACAGCATCTGATAATGCACTGAAATCAGCCAAAGCTGAGCAGAAATACCCTGTGCCAGTGAGGGGCACGTCTTCATGTCCGCAGCAGTCAACGGTTGGAGAACTGTTCCAACAGCTGACTGTTTCGGATAAGGAAGAACTACTGTTTATTCAACTTCCTGATACCATACCTGGTCAACCTAAACCCCCGAGCCCAGAGAAACCCAGAAAGGAAGGCAAGACCCTAGATAAGCGCTCATCAAAAATTAAAGCTCTGGTAAGTTTATATTCCATACTATGCCTTAAAAATATCATATATTTACTGTATTGTGATATATTTTTTTTTACCCTAAAGGTCCTTGCACACTGAGTCCAAAATTTTCGTATGTGTTTTTTCATATTCGTCATCCTTTCCTATCAAAATGCTTGCTACGGATGTGAAAACGCAGAAAATCGAACCTGATCCGGATTTTTTTTTTATGACGGACGAAAGTTTCGGATAGGGATGCACGATATTGGAATTTTGACGATATCCGATATGCCGATATTTTTCAACTCATTTTGGCCGATAGCCGATGCTGATATATTTCTTTTTGTTTGGAAACAACACCAAGTCTCTCCTGTGCGGAAATGTTAAATATAATTATTTTTAATTTGTTCGAATTAAATAATAATGAAGTTCTTTTATAATGACAGTACATTGAAAGCTTTGAAAATAATTATAAATCAGCTATATATCAATCGCTCCATTTTTGATTAAATTTTTTTCAGAAAGATGCCAGTGGTAACCTTAAAATATTATTTTAAGATTTAGCATTTGTAGATGGTCTAAGGCAAGAATTGTATACATTTTCAAAATCTTTTAGAGCTCATGATTCTTTTTAAAAAACAAACATATTACACATTAATGAATAAATCTGTATATATAAAATGATTTAATTTACAAGCGTCATGTTACAAAGCTATAGCTTCTGACCTTTGCATTAAAACATACTCATGATTTTATGACATTAATACTGCCTTATTTATTCAGAAACACAAGTTTCTTAGTGATATTTGTGTATTTTACCTTCATTTTGTTACAAGTAGGCCAACAGCGCCCCCTATGTAAATACAACGCCTTACTGGACAGGCATTAGAACACATCATCTTGTACATGTATTCTCAAATTAAATGCAGTGATCCAAAACAGTGAATCTAATCATCATTAAGGCAAACGTTTGCTTCAAGAATGACCACACTGCTGACTTGATTAATCGCTAGGACACCCTGAGCACATGTGAGTTAATCCTCTTATCGGCAAGACATATCGGCATAATTTTTCATATCGGGCCGATGCCAATATTTACATTTTAAGCCATTATCGGCTGATTCCAATATCGGTCCGATAATATCGTGCATCCCTAGTTTCGGAGGTAGTGTGTAAATGTGATTGACATGACGTGAGGTCGTATTTATTTTTAACGTTCGAAAATTTCGGATGAGAATTTCGGACTCGGTGTGCAAAGACTTTAAGGGTGAATATTTAACTTTTCATTATTATTAAACAATTTCTTTGCTACTGTACGTACCACAAGTTGTTTTTGCTGCTGAATTTTATAGTATGATTTTATAGTACTCTTATTTAAAAAGATCAAGGAGTTTATTTCCTCATGAAATGACATGAAATGAAATGACCAACCACATTAGTTTATAAACATTTAATATCATCTACAGTGTCCTCTGAAGGATTTTAAAGCTGTTGTGATATCATTCTTCAGGATCAGCCTGATAAAGCCGCTGTACCTGTGCTGTCAGACTTCTCAGAGGGTCTGATTGGAAAACTGCAAATGAGAAAGTCTGGTAAAGTTCTGCTGGTCATGGGAAATGTTACATTAGATGTCTCAGAGGGAGCGGCCTTCTCTTTCCTACAGGTGAGTTAACACGTTGTCATTTTTAATAGATGCAGTGTAGCAAAATAAAAAAATAAAAGCATCAGTTGTTCAAACATATCAGAATAAAAACCAGGCACAACCAAAAATATCTATGACAAGTTTATATTAATAAAAAAAAATCACAATGGAAAGTGGAATCATAATGCAAGAATATGTAAATAGTCTTTTATTCTTCTCTTGTCAGCTTTCATCTAGTTGCAGCATGTCTGTAACAATTATTTGATTGCTATTCTTTTTTTTTCTCCTTTTTTCAACTTTAACGTATAATAGAATAAATGACAACTGGGCCTGCCAATCTCCAAAATGTCAAAAAGCATGTATTATAAAGGTTGTCATACAGCTATATAACACAAATGGTCATATGGGCCACTTTTATGATGCATTTTGTTGTTTTTGCAGCCTTTTTAAACAATGTAATTATAAAACCCCTTTTGTGTTTCATGGAAGAAAGTAAGTCAGAGGGATTTGGGCTTTGTGGTAGCATTCTGGTATGTATATTTTTGCACAGCCCAATATTGAAGTTAACTGGATATGTTTTATTTATTATTAAATAATAGTTCACCCAAAACTGAAAATTTGTTGAAAGTGTACAGGTCATCCAAGATGTAGATGAGCTATTATCTGTATCAGAACTGATTTGAGGAAATTTAGCATTACATCATTTGCTTACCAGTCTCTGCAGTGAATGGGTGCTGTCAGATTGAGAGTCAAAAAGCTGATAAAAACATCACAATAATCCACAAGCAATTCACACCACTCCAGTCCGTCAATTAATGTCTTGTGAAGTGAAAAACTGTTTGTAATAAATCCATTGTTTTTTTTATTTTACTCAATTTAAATCATTATTATTTTGGCCAGAAGTGACAGTTAAAATGTCTTAATGATGGGTTTTATTTTTACAAACACGCAGCTTTTCACTTCACAAGACATTAATTGATGGACTGGAGTCTTGTTGATTACTTTCAGATTATTGTGATATTTTTCAGCTGTTTGGACTGACTGCATCTTGACGGCACCCATTCACTGCCGAGGATCCTTTGGTGAGCAAGTGACGTAATGCTACATTTTCCAAAATCTATTCCGATGAAGAAACAAATGGACTGTAGATCTCATTTACAAGAAGTTTGTTCCATGGGATATAATCATTTTTGTATCTGCAGCAACTAGCCTGTGTGCGGATGTCGGAGGGCCTGACCGGAGACATGATGTGCTTGGAAACATCATACACAAACTGGTGTGTTCACCTGATTTTGACTTTGCTGCAAGAAGCCAAACTGCCATCTGATCCCAGCTCGGCTTCAAAGTCCTGATTTTATCTCACGAGAATATTTAAAACTATATTGTAAATAACTGTTCTTAAATGTAAAAAATGTGAGGTTTTATGCCCTGAGTTGACAATTGCATTATAAGATAATATTCAGCCTAAACCTGAGGCCACTTGATTTGTATTTAAAGGGATAGTTCACCTAAAAATTAAAATTGTCATTTATTCACTTTTCATGTTATAAGAGAGACATTTCATTTTCCCTCCATATAATGTAATTATATGTTAATTTGCCCATTTGGTGATTGAGGAAAAGAGCAGCTCACACATTATTTAAAATATCTGAATTTGTTTTATACAGGATGAAGAAAGTCATACAGATTTGGAGTGTGAGGTCGAGTAAATGACTCATTTTTCACTTTGGGTTGTATTATATCTCTAACCTTAGTCCACTTTTTAAATTTTAAACGTTTTGATGAAGTTGTGTAGCATTCTTTTGTAAATAGCTCCTGTTGCTTTTATAGAAAATGTTAATGTTTATTTTGTAAGTAAAGACATTATACAAACCATGGCATCCTCTTTTAAAGCATGATACACAAACTCATTCTAAGAAGCAAATGGAAACTGATGTCAGTCTTACGTTTCATAGCCAGTCAAGAAACAGAGTTCTTGAGTAGCTTAAAAGCAATACAAGTACTATAAAAACAGTCATAATCAGGACCTAAACTATTGAGTAAATGAAACCAGCAAAAAGGGATGAGACGTCATGAAGGACTCTTCACAGTTTTAAAAGATTCATGCTTTGAGCACTATAAATGCAGCTCTAGTAACGGAAAGCACAGGCTTTTTTATTGAGGACGGTACTGACCTTTGTACAACATGCTCTGTCTAACAGAGTCACATACATCATTTCACTTCTTGGTGCTCTCCACAGTCTTTTTCACTGCTGTTCCAGTCTTCTTTTTTGGTGCTTTTGCCTTTAGCACTCTTACTTTGGATTTCTTCTTTATGTCTTTAGTGGTTTTGGCTTTGATGGCTCTCCTCTCCTTTCTCCGAACAAGGTCTTCCCTTCCGATCTCTATCATGTGCTCCTCCCACGATTTTATTTCGTTCTTGTAACGGACTTTGTCATCCTCTGCCAGCTGAATGTACATCTGAAATTGAAACAGTGACACAAGTCAGATAAAGGATCTGTTGCAAAACATAGCAAGCTTTCAATTGCTTTATAATTTTGTATTGTTTTATATTTATAAGATAACTGAGTAGAATTGCCGCGGTAGCGGTGTTCGGCCATACACGAATGACATTGCTTGACAAACACCAAACAGTTTGTTTGCTCAGTTTATTAAATCGTGGCCATCTTGTAGTGATTGTTGTTAAATCAAAATTGAGAGAATGATTTAGTACATGAACACAATTTAATAAAACGATGAAATGAATGTAGTCGTAAGAATTAATTCTTAATTTGCTACCCTAATAAATATATATTTGTCTGTATGACATGCAGGGCTCCATATCTTGTTCTATGTTTAATGTAAGCGAGTTTGTCAATGTACTGTTTTATTGTTGTTGTGTTTTCCATTAAGAATAATAATGAACCCACCATTTTCAAGCAATCATTTTGTTGAAAGAAAGGGAAAGACGTAAAGACCTACTGTTAAATCCTATGATGCAATCCTGAGTATCACTAACAAATATTTTCTTGTAAAATATGAGGCGTAATATCGACATTGTCACAAGTTTATTAATCGGTGGAAAAATGTCCTCCCCGTAGCATAACTAATTGTAAGTGCTATTAATTATATGATTCACAGAGATACTGCTCGTAGTGTTTTTAAATCAGCCAGTTTATGAGGTGTCTTAGAAGACAGCAGACAGCTCACAGGATGATGGAACAGAGCCGTAGTGTGAGCTACTTTTGATGCTCAAGGCAAAACTCACTTGTTTCTGTGTTGCACTGAAACGCTCCCAGTCGTCTCTCAGAGACTTCATCTTCGTCTGGAAAGAAAAAAAAAGACATTCAAGTTAACCCAATTGTTGCAACCAATAAATATTGTGTTAAATACTTCAATTGCATATTACACAAATGTTTCGTTTTAAAGGGTTAGTTCACCCAAAAATGAAAATTAGGCTGCGTTTTATGAAAGATCAAAGACAATTTTTAATATAACTCCGACTGGATTCGTCTGAAAGAAGAAAGTCATATACACCTAGGATGCCTCGGGGGTGAGTAAAACACAAGCTAATTTTCATTTTTGGGTGAACTAACCCTTTAATGGTCTGTAATATCTTTGGTTAAACTGTGAACTTCAAATACATTATTACACCAGATACAAAAACAAATAATTGAAATTATTTATACAAAATACACTACAGTTAGCTATATTTTAGGTGCAGAAATTTTTGCATACTGTATAAACTCAGAATCTTGAATATGAAGAACTAAAGTCCATTTTCACCTGCATATTAGTTCCTTTTGCCTCCTCAAAGTGCTCCGACATGAAGATGTTGAAGGCGCTCCTGGGACGTTTGGGCTTGCCAAGACTGTTCAGCTCCTACAAGTGAAGTATAATATTCCTTTACTATAAAGGTAATCAAAATACTTAATTTCTGAAGAAGAAATGAAATAATATTTAGTCAGTGTAAAGTGTCTCATTGGTGGGTGAGTATAGTAGTTACATAATGGAAGGCAAAACTCACCTTCTTTCTCCTAATTGCTTTTCTTTTGACCACTTTTTGTCGTTTTTCTACTGCAAGAGCAGCAGTTTGTGCAGGAGTCAGTTGGGCTTTGTATTTCTCCAGAACAAGCTTATATTGCTCCCTGGATGCTGAAGATGCATCCTGAAATGGCTGCGATAAAGGGATGTGAAATAGCTCAAATTAGTGGATGACAGGAATTTTTCAATGGCCAATGTCAATAGCAATAACTAAAGAGCAGGGTGGCCCATATATAACAGTGAAGGAATTGTCTACCCAAAAATAAAATGATAAAATAAAATAATTATATAATTAAAAACATGACATGTGACCCTGGAGCACAAAACCAGTCTTAAGTCGCTGGGGTATATTTGTAGCAATAGCCAACAATACATTTTATGGGTCAAAATTATTGATTTTTCTTTTATGCCAAAAATCATTAGGATATTAAGTAAAGATCATGTTCCATGAAGATATTCTGTAAATTTCCTACTGTAAATATATGAAAACTTAATTTTTGTTTAGTAATATGCATTGCTAAGAACTTCATTTGGACAACTTTAAAGCGATTTTCTCAATATTTAGATTTTTTTGCACCCTCAGATTCCAGATATTCAAATAGTTGTATCTCGACCAAATAT